TCTAGCTAGTAATTCTATTTATTTTTTATTTTTTCTTTTTTTCTTTTTTTACTTTCTTTTTATTTTTTGTTTTTTTTTTTTTTTTTGTTTTAGATATTTTTGCAATCATTTTTCCCAGAAAAATCAGTGGCTGATAAGATGAATTACACAGCAAACATCATTTATTCTATTACAACACTGAACTTTGAAACAGCACAGGAAGTAATTCGAAAAATTTTTCAAAAGTATGATTCATTTGCGAAATTAAATTTTAATTGCAAATCGCAACTTAAATTAGTAATGATAAGTAGAGAAAAATTAAAGCATAACAGGTATTTCATGTTGCGAAGTTATTAAGAGAATTCCTCAATTTTTAGAGATTTAAAACCGGAAAATTTGTTATATTATGATCAAACGGAAGATTCTAAGATAATGATTTCCGATTTTGGTCTTTCAAAAATTGATGAATCAGGTGTTATGGCTACAGCATGTGGTACACCAGGTTATGTTGCACCTGAAGTTTGTTTTACTTATTTCATTCAAACAATATGCAGTAGATTAACGTACTGTTATCCGAAAATATTTTTTAACAAATTTGAAAGAAATTAGAATAAAATATTTTTATTAGAACTTATTTAAAAAAAATTAAATATGAGTAGAATGGGAAATATTTGAATTTTTCAATTTTTCATCCCACACTTTCAAAATGTTATCAATATTAAATGGAAAATTATATTAATTTGTTACTGATTATTAGCTCCAAGTCTGTTTGCAAAAAATGGCTTAACAAATTTGAAATGAATGAGTACGAAATATTTTTGCTAAAACCCATTAATAAATTTATCAAAAAAAATTTAGTCGCGAATATTCCATCAGGAAGATGAAAATTTTCAAACAAATAAACAAATGTTATTACTTGTCAGTTATCATCGACTGATAAATCCATCAATAGTGATAATAGTAACAAATGAATTTAAACAAGTTTAATCAAATGGTTAGAACAAAGCATTTTATGCGATTGTTTCTTGGATAATTTTGTTGATTCCGATATTAATTGTACCACCTAAACAATTGGAAAATGAAGCAATTGGGACATTTTGCACTTCGTAAAAAAAAAAAAAAAAAAAAAGGACTGAAAGAAATAAAAAACATCAAATAACCAGATGATAAAATAACAATAAATGAGAGTTCTTCGGTAAACAATCAATTTTTCGTAAATTAAAATGGGATCTATTTTGTTTTGCGCTGAAAAATTAGAATGATTTACAGGCGCAAAATGATAGCGAAAGTAGCCTATCATCAGTGATTGTTTGAGCAAAAAACCTGTTTTCATTCATATTGGTCAAATGAAAAACTATAAAAAACTAATTAAAATTGTAACACAACAAGTTATTTCTTTAAAACTTTAAGAAGAATGAATTTTTTATCCTTACTTTCGTGTCATTTATTTGTCGTTTTTACTTCCGTTTTTTTTCTTTTTTATTTTTAAAGTATATGATATTGTTGGATTATATTATTGAAGATAGAAAAAAAGAACGATACTTCATCTTTTTGAATATCTATGATAATATTTAACACTTGTATGTTAAATATTCAACATTTAAAAAAAGTTGTCCTTAATTAACAAAATGACACAACTTGACAGTTAATTAATTTAAAATGAAGCAATGAAATAACAGGTATTACAACAGAAACCGTACGGTAAAGCTGTTGATATTTGGTCCATTGGTGTAATAACATATATTCTTTTATGCGGTTATCCACCATTTTATGATGAGAATGATGCGAATTTATTTGCTCAAATAATTCGAGGTGAATATGAATTTGATTCACCATATTGGGATGAAATTTCTGAATCAGCAAAAGATTTTATATCACATCTGATGTGTTGCGATCCAGAACAACGATACACCTGTCATCAAGCATTAGCTCATCCATGGTAACTAATTTGAATCTATCTGTGTACATTTGCCATTTCAATATCTCTTCCTATCTCATTCATCATTTTACAACAATGATGATACGCTTCTGGAAGGATAATTTCAAGTTATTTTTAGTATTTCGTAAAAAGCTTTTTATTGCATATTTCATTTCCCAGTAAACATTTTTCTAACATATCCTTTACTTTCTCCTCGCCTTACCGAACAAAGGCATATTCCCTTCTTATTTTTATTTAAAATTAAATTCATTTATATATTGAAAAATAGGATCAGTGGTGATACAGCTGGTACAAAAGACATTCATTGTTTGGTGGCACCACATTTGAAGATAAGCTTAGCGAAGCGAAACTGGAAGAAAGCATTCAATGCGACAACTGTAATCCGTCAACTTCAGATGCTCCGATTATCATCAATCTCACAAGCGGCATCCACGTCGACCAGCGAATAAGCGGTAATTTATCAAACATGCATGATTATTTTCCAGGAATTTAGACAAAGGCGAAAGAAGGAAATATTTAGAAATTTGCATAATCCTCATCAACATGCTCTAATTTATGAATTTCACTGATATTTTCTTTGATGTAATATGCAGCTGCAAGTAGCTTTTCGTCCATCATCAGCAACTTCTCACATGTTATGTTTGTTGTAAAATTTAAAGGATAAAGGAAATGGTAACATCCGTACCTCGCATAATTTATATGGCTTCTTTTGACACTTATGCATTTTATGGAATAATCTGACGAAGTGTTTTATGAGGACTAAATTAAAATCCAAGCCTGGAATTAGTTGAATTATATCACCGAATATCATTTGAATCAATAAGTAGTGCTCGTTCTTTATGAACACGTGCACCAACCATCTCTCTTCGATCTACACTGAATATTTTAGGAATTATCCTATTATCAATTTAACAACCCATTCTTTTTGCCAAACATACCTTCGGTAAGATAAAATCATAAGTCACATAAACACTAATAAAAAGCTCACATTTACCAACATTAACTCGACGGCTCATTGTTAAAAATCTTAACTTATAAAGTATGATGTCGCAAACCAAATAAATTATAAAGAGAACCAATATCCTAAATCCCAAATCCTAAAAATAACCTTGGAGACATGCGCCGAAGTTCCAAAATGCTTCATTATCTACGAAATTACAAAACTTTGAAAAAACACCCCTAAACAAATAAACCGATAATTAATTGAACAGTTACACGAGGTTATCTCGGTCAGCGTATTGTTCATGATTAGTAAAACGTGGATTTTAAAGAAATCTACAAAAAATCATTTATCGCTTTTCTTTTTTTTTTCACTACAATACCACATACTCAAGTCACTCTTTGAGTGTTAATAAAATACTGAACAGGAACACAGAGGCTTAAGAGCAGATGACTTTTATTTTCATAACAGCTCTAATCAGATTACGTATAGTTGATGACTTGAACTGGTTGAGCAATTGAAAATATAAAAGAAAAATACAGTGAGACAATGGTCCTAGAGAAACAAAGGATAAAATTACTTATTAAAAGACAACGGATCGAAATACGGAAAAACTTCATATGCTACGACTGAAGAGAAATACTGCTCAGTTTAAATACATTCAAATCTTGAGAATGCCGACTTCTTCTACCTCCTTTCTTTTCGAAAAACTATAATAAATAAAAAAACAAATAAAAATATAAATATAAATATATATATGTATACATTTTTTTCCTGCATTCTGCCTCATGACCGATACAATGAAATTTTGATAATTGAAAGAACACTACTTAGAATATAAAATGTACATACCCGTTGTTACACAAATGTTCTCTGAATAATAAATTAATGTGGTACAGGTGAGTTTCATACGAAATGATAATTCAAAAAAGTTATTATATATAAAATAACTACCGTACTTTTCAACCAGTTCTCTAAAAATCATTTGACAAGAAAGAGATTTTTCGCTAGTTTCGTATTAAAAAGCAGTCAGACAAATGTAATTAAGTTATTCACGATATAAAACTATAAAAGACAAAATGAAACCGATGTACACAGATACAGAGGCAACGAAAAAAAGCGACGAATCTCATATTGAGTAAATTTCAATGCAAATCCAAAAATCCAAACAGGTCTTTTGGAACAATTTTCTTGTATTCGACCTCATAAATCTTTCGTCGTACAACATTTGCGGCAAGACCCATAAGTGTAAGGTATCGACCTGGAAAATAACAAAGTTCTGAAGCTGCTTCCCAGCTGGAAAAATTTATCTTTATTCGCATTTGATTAAGCTAAAAGATAAAGTTTCCGGAAATTTTTAAAAGGAACTCTCCTAAAAAAAAAATTATTTTAGCACTGATTAATTGAACTTAGACAAATCCTATCATTTGTATGATGAATCATCTCCACAATCTGCTACTTTCTGATATGAATACAAAACGAAAAAACCCCATTTTTATTTTATAAATATGAAAATACATCGAAATTAAATAACCGTAGCAGCATATATCATTATCTTTTAAACGATAGTCGATAAAGTACTCAAGCTATTTGAAAAGAACTAAAACCTACCCAATCTGAGCTGCCCAGTTGCACGAGGCAGTTTCGCTGAGATCAACTCCAAACATGTTTGATCATCGTTATTACGAGCTAAAAGTGTTGCACCATTTTGAAGCAGTAGCTTGATGACACTCTGTCTAGGATTACTACTTAGCAAGATCGTGTGTAATGCAGTGTTACCTAAAACATGTATGTATGAAAAATATAACTGAAATTAAGAAAATAAGCAATGGTTTAGGAAAGATGAACAAACGATCAGCATTAATTATTCAGATTCATAAATATGCCTTGAAAATCAATATGTCTTGGAATCTTTTCTGATAGAACAACAAATATGTTATCTGATACGCTTTTATCGACATACCCAATGAATTTTTCGTGTTTACATCGATTCCACTGTCGATGAGCATCGTAATAACACACGCACATGGAAAACGGGCTGTTACTGGCTTGTCAATATCATGACAAGCAGCGTGAAGAGGATATAAATTCAGACATTTCGAAACTAATGTTAAACGTGTAACCATATATGATAAAGAAGTGTCAAAATTCTCCTTTTCATCAGCTTCTGTTTCTAAATTTGACGTCAGTTTGCTCTCGCCAGGAGACAGACGTCGAATCTGAAATACGCATACATTTTGCATTCTCTCATAACAAAAAACAAAAACACTCACATAAGCTTTATGTCTTCGTTAAATATTTCGTTCGTAAAATATTTCGTGTGTGTTAAAATATTTCGTTCGCAAAAATTCAATGTAAACCCTGCGGGAAGAAAGCTGGAAAAGTACCAGCACATAAATAAACGTGAGGAGTGGAGTGTTGTAAAAGACTTTCAAAAAATTGAAATTAAAAAATTGTATTATAGGCTGTATTTCCTTTATACATATTTTTTCCAGAGATAGCTATACTTGATTGTTTCCTTTATACATATTTTTTCCAGAGATGGCTATACTTGGTTGTCTTATCGCTACGACAAGTAAAGTACACCCTGTTTTTGGAATATGTGCCCAAATTGTACTGAAATAGGGATCACGTTTCAACACTTCAAAATTCACTATATATATCTTCACCAGTTGTAAACAGCTGATGTCGACATTATTCACTTGTTGGTAAATGGCAAAGAATAAATGCCAACCAAAAGAATCAGTTGAAGGGAAGCAAGCATCAAGAAATCAGTGCACCGGTTTTCGTCATCGGGTTCTTCAGTAATTTCATCTGTTTTAATTCTTGTGTCGCCACCACTAAATCTAAAACTACGAAATCTCAACAAATGAAGGATTTCGTACATACGCAATTTATGACTTCAATCTAAGACTCGTAATTTAAGGTCTAACTCTCCTTCCCTCTCTCTTGTCCCTAAGCTGATATGGTCAGAATTCTACAAACTTATTATACATGTGCTTTTTGGAAACATATTAGTAAATTACTAATTCTAAAGGTTATTTAAGAAAAATATAAAATGAAACAATGTACAAAACTATAACCTTTCCAGTTCATAGACAGTTTTTTCTAGTACCTCCATTACGTATTTGCGAGAAAGTGGAGCAACACGTACACCATCCGCATTAGCAATTATAATTCCTTCATTCACCGTTAATATAAATGTGTCAATAAATGCTCCAATTGTAGAAATAGTTGACGGATGCAGTGCGCAAAGATGTCTTTGCTAAATTATTTCATTTTATGTTCTGTTTTATTGTAAAAATTACATTTAGTCCAGCTACAAGTCTATCAAATTGAATTGTTGGAAAAGCCAAACAAACAAGTGATAGAAAAACACTTTCCTGAAACACATACTTATTCGAAAGAAATCCTTTAACTTCAATTTTTCCTTAGCGATGAAATTCTACTAATGCACAGAATACCATAGAATCACAAGCTCTGAATAGTACCTCAGATGGTTAAAAACAAAATGCAAGAGGGGTGGTGAAACTATCAACCTGCAGATGGAGCGCATGCATCCATAGCTGGAAGCATCGATTTGTTTCACCCAAATCACAGTATACAGCGCCACGGTAACGTATGAAATAATGTGTTTCGTGATGACCTCCACCGATGATCCTTTCCCGCATGATTAATGCCTGAAGTTATTAGTTATACGAACCATGAAAAAAGAAGGTACTCAGCTTCATTCCAGACCTATACTTACCTGCATTCTGATTGCATCAGGATCGCCAATAATATGACGTATGTCAGCATCTGTGTCTATTTCGAACAAATCATCGTAAACATGGAGAGCAGTACGCACGCGAAGTGGCTCACCGTAATTAACTGCTTCAAACCAAACACGTACAGCACTACTTAAATCCATCTTTTTATCCACTAAAGTAGCACCGAATAACTAAAACAGCATTAAGAAATCATTACTATGTAACGTACGCAGTCAAAAAATTAATACTTTTATGGATAATATCGAAAATATTCGAAAAGCCTTACAATGTCTAACAAGTGTATTTTCTCTGAAAGAGTGAAGTATAATATACGTGAATGATAGCTAGCATGTAACTCCACAAAACACGTTTGATGATTATTGCGCTAAGGTGAAATATTCTAAGTATGAAATATAGGTAAAATATTCTAAGTATGAAATATTCTAAGAACAGAGACAAGGAAATACGTAAGAGTTTTCATTTCGTTGTGCGACTATTTTCACAAAGCTTATCCGAATACAGCGTTCAGAAAGTCCTATAGACAAACTTTTAATGCGTCTCTTGTCTCGTGAGCAGTAGCCACAGCAGATAATGACTTAAGCACTTCTTCATGTCCAGCTAGCGCAGCGCATTGCATCGGCGTCATACTACAATCATCTTTAACATTTTTTGCACCAGCTTCTAATAACATGCATACAATTTCATTGGAACCAGCTTCCGCAGCGTCGTGCATTGCTGTGTTTCCTGAAATAAATATTCATGACTAAAAGATATTTTCGTCAGATTCGTAAATGAATTTGGCGAAAGCAGATCAGAAGAACAGTGAATGTTTAGTAGTTTTTTCAAAAAACTTTATTTTATTTCGATCGACAAAGCCGAAAACAACTCATACATATTAATACTTGATTGAAACAACTATATATGTATTAAAACACGCTTCTTACCACATCCGAACCACTTAAAACTAATCTTTGTCAATACACAGACAACACTAACCAGTATGAACTTTTATTTGTAAAAGCTACCGCCTATGAAAAAGGGGTCCACATAGAGCGAATTATTACGTCATAGGTGGCGAAAACTCTGTCCAGAAACACCAGAAGGAATCAATGCATGTCGCCATATTAGTTATATTGTAAGCAATGTAATAAACAAGCGCATAACACCCATGATATCAACATATTTATGGGAAAATAACCTTTGATAGATGCACGGCAAGGATCCGCTCCTTGTTCCAACAGAAACTGTACAATATCAGCTCGCATTTTAAAAGCAGCAATCATCAACGGTGTATGCCCATGTCGATTAGCCAATTCGATATCAGCTCCTTTTTTCACCAGATATTGAACTAAATACGTATTACAGAATAAATTACATCCGTATAACAAGGATGATAACTAAGTAAAGAGATAAGTGATACCTATGTCGAAGTGACCATCATAGCATGCGCCTCGTAAAGGAGAACTGTTAGACTGCGTTGTTTGATTGATATCGGCACCAGCTTTTTCAACAAGATACCGAACAATATCTATATGTCCTGCAGCTGCTGCAGCCCATAAAACTGGCGCTCCAGCTAAATTTAGTTTACTTTCTTTAAAAAAAAAAGAAAAAAAGAAACGAGGTGAAATCCTGAACAAAAAAAAATAGAATTCAGAATAAATTATTTGACGAAAAACAACACTTATAAATGTCACATAGTGCTCATGACAGCAGGATTCACTACAACTCTTTGTTCCAGTAGTTCTGAATGACAAACTGTTCAGGAATCGCGGGAAGAGAAATGGAAAAAACACATATGAAAGAGGGGGATGAAGGAAATCGATGAAGTGTTTAAAAATGCCACCATTAAATTAAAGTTACGCAAAACTGACGGATAATTTCACCATCAAATGAAACTGTCCCAGTGATTGAAACATCCGCGCCCTTTTCCAGCTGCAATATTTGAATTATATAAATGTCGGCTCAGTTTACGACTAATTGTCAGCAAAAAGATAAAAACACATGAAAATCCTATAACGCACAATACTTCCTAGAAAATTTGTCCTTCCTATTACGTCATTCTAATTAATAAGCTTAAAATATTTGAGCAGGAAGAAAGATTACCAAGTATTTGACAACATCGAAATGGCCATTTCGAGCAGCGATGACAAGTGGTGGAGTTTGGGATTTCTGTGACGACAAACAGTGATGAAGCCATTCGTGTGACCGGTCTTCCAGGAAAATACGCAAACGTCGTAAATTACCATCTCGCGCCGAATTGAAAACAATAGCTCGATATGCTTCTGGATCCATCCTATGCAATCACGAATGACCAAACCGGCTAACAAATTAATAAAACGCGCCACCCTAATTCGAACACCCTCTCTAACACTTCAACTTCCGCTCCAACCACGTATAAGATGCTTGCACTGTATCATACTGTCCTTACGCAATAATTGCGTCTCAGTCTCGATATCTTCTCCAAGATTTCCTAGCTTCCTCAGAATTTTTCTGATAGTTGATCTTATCATTATTCAATTGAAATTTCCTATTGTTTCACAATAAATGATAATTAGATGGTAAGAAGGGCGATCATTTGTGACATACGTGACACATAGTGATGGGATTCATTGTCCTGAAATCGAGATCCGCTTGTTGTTTATTGTTTACTTTGTAAGTGTTGAATTGTTTGTTATTCGTCGATGTAACTTTTCATTTATAACAAGAAAAAAGGGTTAATTGACGAGCCAGAAAAGCAAGGAAAATCTGGCATGAAGCATTCAAATCGATATGTATTATCCGTATTTTGTCTAGTAATCGTAGATGCTTGTCCGGAAAATGCAAAGCGCAGTGAGTAATGAGCAATATAAAATTAAAGTTAACATCAAGAAATCAACCGACATAATAAAACATTGATCCGGAATGAATAATGTCCAGATGGCAGGATAAAAGACAGGAATCTTTGTGAGGATTGAATCCTTGATCGAAATGAAAAAGTTTTAGGAAATTAGAATGGTGGGCGAAGGATGAGGGAAATTAACTTTATTAGCCTTTATTCTAAGCACTTGTAGATTTACGAATTAACCTTAAACTATTCAAATTTAATACCATCATACAGTATAGAAAGCGTAGAACAATACAATTATTAACAATAAAGTCATGACTCAATAATTAATATTATTGTTACGATAATTAATATTTGTTAGGATGTTTATTATCATTGGCAGTTACGATCATCATTTACGTTTATCAGCTATACACTCATGGTTTATTCCAAGGGTTATTACAATGCTCATTCAAATCATTCAGATATGTTTTAATGTAATCGTTATCAAATTTTCACAGCTATCATAAATATTAAACTTAGGATTGCCCACCTTGATAGTCGTTATCAGTCCATAAAATATTAAAAAAAAGGCGACAAGCATCGCTGCTTGTCGTAATACGATGATTGCTGATAATAAGGCTGCTGATGACTTTGTTCGTCGTATCCTTTCGCGATAATTGATCCCTCCGATTCTGTCTCATTTCATTAATCGTTGGCCCTAAATTGTTGTTGTAATACTATCTGTTAATTTTGGCAAAGTATACTGTTTTTTAAACAAATCTCTTCCTCCAATTTATCACATCTTATGTTTATTAATTAGTAATCAAAAAACGAATTCAAATTTTTTAAATCTATTTGTTTCAATTTAAAAATTTCAATTTATCCAATGATACAGTTTATCGATATGAAATGATTAAAAATTTTGAATTACAATAGGAAAATTAAAATTTTATATCTCCTGTTTTGATTATTTTTTTTTCAACAACTTTTATCACAATTGACAAAAAATATTTAAAATGGAAAAATCAATCTTTTTCGTTTTTTTTTTCGTATGTATTTTTCCTTTAAATTTTTGTGAATACATTTTTACAGCAAATATAATTTGATGCTTCTAATGAGTATTCATCTATTCAATGAATAAGAACCATTGAAAAGTAATGTGAATGAGCGATGTAAAATTGATGAAAATCATTTCAACCAAAATATCATTTACTAACCAATATGATTGATTCATCTTCTCATCCAGCTAACTGACTACTGTTGTCCATGCTAATTGAGTTAGCATAAGTGTAAAGGATTGTAAGCTATAATATGAATTTGGATAATTGTTCTGGTATTCATCATCGTGATTGTCATATAGTATTTCATATTTGAATGTGAAATGATTAACCTGAACAGATTACCATTTATTTTAGACATTTATTTACGTATTTGATAAACATTTCACTCCAAAAAAAAGTGTTGAATTTTTAAATTTGAATTTTAGAAAAACTTAAAATTTGAAATCGAGTTTTTTTTTCCCATCTACACATTTAAACTTCAAATATGCTAATCTGGATATTTTGAATTATATTCTAAAAAATGTACTTATCCTCCCTTTTCCTCTTTCCCCCTCTCCCTCTCTCTCCGTTCTTTATTTCATTTGTCATCTTTATCATTTTATAAATCAATTCGTATTAGTATTAATAATTTCGCTTCAAATTTTTCATTATTTTGCTAGTTTTTTTTCTTTTTTTTTTTACTCATTTAATCAGTAATGTCACAAATTTTCACAGATATATTTCTCATCGTGAACTGAAAATGCAATATTTATCACAATACTGCAAAAATATTTTGACAGGTGAAAAGTTCATTTCAAATAAATTCTTTCTAACGTTTTGGACTTGACAAGATTTGTCAATTTTATGGATTTTATATATAAAATTGTTCTTTTTTTTCTTTTTTTTTAAAAAAATTCAGCTATATCTTATAGATAATTAAAAAAAAAATTTGCAGTGATAATCGATAAGTATCAACATGATAATAATAAGAATTCGATTGAAAGAGATAAAAAGAATTATCACACATAAATTTAATATACACAGACACATATAATAAATAATGATAATCATCCTTAATTTCCTTTTTTCTTTTTTCTTTTTGATTTGATTTATCTTTACTTCAATCAGTGATAAGAATATTATTGTTAAGAGTTAAAAAAGGAAAAAAAAATTTGCTTGGTTGAATTGTGTTCGCATTTCATGATAAATTAATATATTAATAATAAGTGAAATTGTTCATTCTCAGTGATTGCAATAAACTTTACAATTATCATTATTCAAAAGTGTTTTTGTTTTATTTTTCTTTTTTTTAAATTACTTTTTAAAATTGATTTGATATTTTGTATACTGAAGAAAATTTGTAATTACACATATTAAATAATGCCAGAATGTGAGTACTGTAAAGTGTTTATAACAAAAAGAAAGGAAAAGTATACATGAAAGAATTAATTCTGTAATTAAAAAGAATATTTGTTGGAAATTAATTTAAATAATAATTTAAAATTGATCTAATTAATTGATAAATTATTATGTATACGTGTTGACACGTGAATAATTAAATAAATCGTTGTAAACCTAACAATTCCTTATAAATTTATTAATTAGACTAATTATATATACATATATGAAAGCATAAAAGGGACAATCTATCCCAATCATCGTATAAAAAATGTATGTTTTTGTAAAATTAAAGGTTTTTTTTTTGAATTAATTTTCTTTTTTGTTAGTAAAATCGTAAATAGTTTCACTTTTACCATATAAATTAGTGAAAAGTTTGAAGATTACAATTGATACTGATAGATCAACGAGATCTACTGATAGCAGATGAACACCTGGCAAAGAGACTTAAGCTGATGAAAATGATGGATGATTGGAAGGGGTGCTAAATGGGAAACTTCCGATAACGCGAATAGCTGCCGGATGATATGGTTCGAATGAAAGAAGGCGTGGTTCCATTTCCCCTCCCCCTCTCCCCTTGATACTATCAACTCTATCTACACTGCTATAATTACGATTGAGCCTACCTATCATCAAATGAAACTCTCTGGTCTGATGTTATCTTAACTGCTTTATACCATATTCATCGTATACTTGATAAAAGTTTGGAATATCACCTTTGATCTCAACGAATTTCTTACTGTTATCATTATCCATGGAGCAAACGGATGATGCAACAAGTACTTTCTATGCCGATTATTTCGTCGATTACGGCAAATGTTTGTTGCACTTCTTTTTTTTTTTTCTTTTCAGTTTTTGAAAGAATATTTTTAAATTTAAAAATTAGTAAATTAGAACGAAATCAGTGTTTTAAAAAGAAAAAAGCCGAAATCTATCATTAGTATAGAGAAACTTACAATGATAGTCAATGGCTCAAGAAGTAAATTTGAAATAAACAATAATATGTCAAATGGAAAGCAATGAAACTGAGATCAATCAGATAATTTTAAAATGAAAGAAATAAAATGAGAAAGCTAACAATTTCTTTGCTCACTTTTAATTGTGTCACTTAATTCGATTGTCATTTTTACTTAATTAATTTCCTTAGTTACTGCTGTTTCCTTTTTTAAATTCTAATTCATCCAATATGCATAAGAATTTTATCATTTATTACCGAATAATTTAGTTTTCCGGCAAACAAATCCAAAGATTCGTACATTTAACCATTCCTGTTTTGAAGAGACCATAAAAGCTGTTAGTAATTTGAATGAATGATACAGATGGCTGATTTGCAGAATAAATTAAATAAATTTCGGTTTTAGTTTGCAAATCTATAGAAATTTTTGAATTATTTTTAATTACCCATCTTCGCAATTAATTTCTCTTGCTTCATGGAAGAGAAGG